TTAAAAATACATTTTTAAGAGACATTTATATAAATATCTGTCTGATATTAATTCATTTTCTTTCTTGATAAAGTTCTTCAGTTGAAAATAGTCTATTTTTATAATAGTTTAATAGTTATAAGTAACAATGAGTTACAATAATAAATAAGTTACAATAAAGTATAATAATGGAAACCAATTATATAATAACAAGCACCTAGGTGAGAACACCTGTATGTGCTGACAAAAATTAAAATTTTATTTTAATTATATTTAATGAATTATAAAGGAAATAAAAAAAAACATTTTTTTTTAAATAAAAAATAAAAATTGAACAATTTATGCAAGAAACAGAAAAAACTATTTCAAAATAAATCCATGTATTTGGAATATTCTGATAAACTTTGCATTATTTTGGAAAATGTATATTTTGCTAACTTTACAGAATTTTTTATATTTGTTTAATAATTTTATATGAAGAGGTAGAGTGTTATAGAACTTTATCCCTAGATAATTTACACTGTTTTTAAAAAACTCACTATTTGGTTTTGGTACTTTAATGCACATGTTCGATGCAGTTCTAGTGTTATGTCTATGTTCTAAAGGGTTTTTTAAAAATTAATTTTTTGGTATATAACAACACACTGCGTGAATATATAAACATATAACATCGCTAATTTTTGCATTATATAAAGTTATGGTGGGACACAATCTATCTCTTTTATATATTAACTTCAAGATTTTGTTTTGAATAACATTTAACTGATTTAATGTAGTTCCATACAGGTCTCCCCATACTAAGATTCCATACTGTAGCATAGATTCTACTAGACTGTAATATAATGTTATTAGTAGATCCTGGTTGAAAAATTGTTTTAGAAGATAAAATTTATAAATCAGAAATATAAATTTTTTTGCTATATATATTATATTATTATGGCAGTCCCATATTAAGTGCTGGTCTATAATTATACCTAAATATTTGGATGTTTCTGTTTCCTGTATGTATAAATTTTGACATGTTAAACTTCTAAATTGAGGTCGATCAGCCACTTTCTTTGAAAAAGCAATGTAGTTTGTTTTGTTAACATTTAAAGACAATTTAAAAACATCCAGCCAGTTTTTGACATGTTCCATTCCAGCTATAGCACGTGTCTTGACATCTTCCCAATCTTTATCACTGAAGACTAGCACTGTATCATCAGCATATGATACAACTTTACCTTAAATATCAATCTGAGTTAAGCTCTTAATGTATAAATTAAATAGTATAGGTCCCAGAACAGTGCCTTGAGGCACTCCGATTTGTGTATTTTCAGGGTTACTCACATTGTCTCTGACCTTTACCTTCTGTTGTCTGTGTGTCAAATAATTTTCAAGAACCTTCAACACGGTGCCCCTCACTCCATTCTGTTCAAAAACATTTAAGAGCTTCTGATGTGGCACCATGGCAAATGTTTTTGCTAGATCTAGAAATATAGCTATACACTGTTACCAGTATTCTTTTCATCAGTAACATATGAAATCAATTCATGCATAGCATCTTCTGAGTTAAGACCCTCAGTAAAGCCATATTGGTGCTTGGGAAGTAAGTAAGTAAAAAATCTGTCAGTCCATATTTCACACATTTCTCAAATATTTTGGCTACATTACTAATTAAACTAATAGGCTTATAGTAAGTTATTAATTTTGGATTACCAGCTTTATAAATAGGTGTTATAATTGAAGTTTTAAATTGTTTAGGTACGATTCCTGTATTAAAAATACAATTAATTATATTTGGAGTGAGGGTAGCCATATGTGAGTAGTAGGGATTAAGTGTAAGGGTTAAAGAAAAGGTCCTTTATTTCTCACAAGTCAATTTAATTGGCGACCGGTTTCGAAGCTGTCACTTTATCATCAGGCACACCTAAATGGAATGTCAAGGAGTCAGTTGTTTTTTTTTTTTTTATTACAACTGACTCCTTGACATTCTATTTAGGTGTGCCTGATGATGAAGTGACAGCTTCGAAACCGGTCGCCAATTAAATTGACTTGTGAGAAATAAAGGACCTTTTCTTTAACCCTTACACTTAATTAATTATATGCATTAAAGGTTCCAGTAAATACAGATGTAGTAGTTTCAGATGTTTTACTGTTATAAAATCAAATCCCGGGGCACAATTGTATCTTTTTCATATATCGGTTTCAGAAACATTGATTTTTCAGTACCACTTACAGTGATTCGCCATTTCATTATCATTTTCAAATTCCTCATAATGTTGGTTAACAATCTTTAAATTGGTATTATTTATTTTATGATTTTCATTAGTTGCTTCAGAGATTAATTGATAAGTTTTTTCAGATCATTTTTGTTTTGGTTTATTTTATTGTTATAATAGTCATGTTTAGTTTTTGATATTAGTTTGTTCAAATTATTATTTCTAAATGTTTTATAGCGAGTTTGTTTGTTAATAGTATAGTATTTTTGTAGATCTTTTTTAAGTGTCTCTAGTTTTAATAGAATTAATTAAACCATTTGTTATTTATGGCTTTATTTTTTTATGGATTTTAATTTTAATATTTTGAGTGGTTTGACATGTTTCAATGATATTAAGATATGTGTCATAAAAAAGTTGTGTTGCAATTTCTGGATTATTTTCATTGCAAACACTTTCCCAGTTTACAGTTTTGAATTTTTGTTTTAATTTATCAGTATCGATTTCAGTTATAATTTTATATGTATTGTAGGAACTTATGTAGTTTTTGGCAGATTGTGAGATATTTATCATAATAGGATCATGATCAGTCATATCACAGCTGATTACATAAGAGTTCACCGATAGATTTTCAGTCTTAATATTGTTTTTTAAGAATATATGATCCAAGCATGTTTTACTTTGTGGCCTTGTAATAGTGTTTATGTAAGACATGAAACCATGGAAGTAAAAAGTTGCTTGGTAATCAGTAGTTACTTGATTGGTTACATTTAGGAGATCAATATTAATGTCCCCTATGAACATTTCAATATTTCTATTTAGGTGATTTGGTATGAAATTTTCTAAATCCCTTATAAATGCTTGTGCAGAGGTTTGAGGAGATTTGTATACACCTGTAATGCCAATGGTCCGATGATTGACTTTTAGATTTATTTTAGTGACACAAATATTAGAATATTCCAGTTTAACTATATTTAATTCTGCATTTAGACTTGACCTGACCAAAATTACAACACCATCGTTTTGTTAATGTTATCATTGTTATAGTGGGTGGTGAAGCCATCTAGGTTAAATTGAGAAATAGATTCTAATTGGAAACATTCAATCAAAACTATTATATCACAATAATTAATTTTATAATTTTCTATAAATACTAATAACTCATCAAAATTCTTTTTAATACTTCTAATATTGAAATGTAAGACATTTAGGAGTTTTTCATTTAAATTAATTTTATTTGTTATATTAGCAGCATCAACAACTTTATTAATCGAATCAATTTGAATAGAATTTAATAGATTATTTTCTTGATTAATAATCATGAACTATTTGAATGTGTGTACAAATATTAGTTATAATATGTTATTGCTTTCTATACTCGTATTATTTTTAGAAGTGTATTTTGTGTGGTTTGTAAATTTTGCAATGTTGTGGTAAAAGTGCCTCCCCAGCTAGTAATACAATACCCAAGCATAGATTCTATTAGAGAATTATACAACATAATTATGTTTTTTCTTGATAAGATATTTCTAATACAAAATGTGTGCATTAGTACTCTTATTAGTTCATTGATATATGTTACGTGTCATTCCATCTGGTATTCTGGTCAAACATAATTCCTAAGTATTTTATCACTCTGGTTTTTTTTAATACAGGAGAGAAACATTTTTATATTCAAAATACGTAGGTTTATGTAGTTTGAGATTTATTATGGGCTGTTTTTCTTATATTTAAACTGAGTAAATTATGATTCAACCAAATTTTTTAAACATGTTTCTGTAGTAGATTGGACTTCATTCCAAGTTTTCCCAGTAGTAATAATAAGTCCTGTATCATCAGCATAGCAAACTAATATCCCTTTGACATTTTTTATGTTAAAAATATTATTTACATATACTAGAAATAAAACTGGACCTAATATGGTCCCCTGGAGTACACCTATCTTAACCACTGATTTGGAGGTCAATACCTCCCCTATTTTAATTGTTTGTCTTCTGTTTGATAGATGTTTGTGAGATTTAAAAGACATTTTTTTCTTTTCTACCTTTTCATCTAATCAACTCGCACACAGCTACTCAAAGTTTGAATAAATGAAAAGTATAATTGGAACTAGAATTATTAGTATTGTTTGTGACCCCCAGTTTTTTTTATAAAAACCAAAAACCTTGGTATAAAAACCTGTACCTGCCAACCCTGAAGAACACCTAACATTCCTTTTTTAAAACTACGTACCCTTATTTGTGGAGATAGTCAATTTATATACAATCTAGAATGTTTGTTAAAACATTAGTTATGTACATATATACTAGAATTTTTAATATTTTGAAAGAAAAACCCATAAAATCACGAATTAAAAAAATTAATTTTAAAACGAAAGTTACCAAATATATTAAAATAATTTTGAATTATAATTAAGAAGGGAGTCCAACTTCTCAAATATAATCAACTTCAATGAGATTTTGTGTGTAATTTACTTTATACCTACTATTTATAAACTAAGTAGCCAAATAATTATAAAAATATAAGTACCTTTCTAAATATTTTATTTGAAAAATACTTAAATTTCTTCATTTGGTAGGTAATTCTCATTTTAAACAGATATTTTTAAATATTCATCATTTAAATTATATCAATTGTAAACATTTTTCTTTTAAACCAACTTTAACTACTTAATTTTCTTAAAAATAATACCAAAAATTAACTGTGACTTGATGAAAAACAGAAATTTCAAATTACGTTCAAACTAAATTAATTAGGCACAGCCTACAGATTTTATTTCTCCTAGTTAATTTTATATTTAAATTTTGTAAAACTAAGACTTACCTAAAATTATTATCATCAATTGAATCATAAAGTAGAGAAGCCAAATAAATCTCTTGCCTGGTTTTACCACGATAAATGCTCATTGTCACACATAACTAGCAATACAAAACCGTTTCTTCTATTATCAAGAACTACACACTTTTGAAAATCAATCCGTACAATTATCAAAATATCAGAAATGTTGAAAAAATCGCTGAAAAACAAATTGTTTTCTTCCACACTATACTTGTCAAAACGTCGTAAACAACTTACCGTTTTTTTAAACAGGTTAGGTTTTTAAATTCCCGCATCGATAGAGATGCGCGTGCGCGGTGCGATGGTGGGATATTTGAATCAAAAGATAAATCGAAGCTTGTAAAGTTAAATAATCTAATCTTTGTTGTTGTTTAAAAATAAGTTTTTATTTTGGTGATTCCGTTCGTACAATAACCCGATCTCGGTTCGAAATAATATTTGTCTTTGTACGATTTCCGCCACGATTGGGTACTTTGCCTAAATTATGCGTTTTCTGTTTTGAATAAGCGATAATGAACTTCAATTGACGCTGTGTGTTTCTTTCCTACAAAGCTAATTGATTGTAATCGGGTAAATCAAAGGTCAAGGCTGTTTTTTTTTTAATAAACGCTTCGTTGTCAAGGTACCTATGAGGGTCTAAAGCACCCTTATAATTTATCGACGTCTTTTTAAGAATTGAATATTTTGTTTGTGGCTTTTGTATTTTTTATTGAGCTACAATTGATAGTGTTTCAGTTTTTAACGTTAATTGATTTCTTATACGTTGAAACTATTAGACAGGATTTGTTTAATTAGGTTTGTTTCACTGAATTGTAACGGTATAATTCAGTAATTTGTTTATTAAATTCTTCAACCGGTGTCTGTATACAAATAAAGGTACAGACCAAGGATTAAACATTCGGGTCCAAATGCTATGTATTATTGCGCCATATATTATGCAACATGTAATACATCAATCTTCAACTTGTGACTTTGTGCAAAGGTTATTGAATATTTTATAAACAAATAAACAAGATTCATAGATCTGATTCAGAGATAAATTACGTTACTAACAACTTTATATCAGAGTCTGTTTCTTTCTCACATTACACGGCATTACATATGTCGTATTTTTATTCAAATTCAATGCATCCACAAATTTTGTATAATCTACAAGAAGTACATATTTTTCACCTTGAATTTCAATAGTGTTCTTGAAATAAATAAACAAACAGACCTACCATCTACCTAAAATTATAAATAAGCCTTTTATTCATGTGGATTTGATGAAATATGAGGATTTGTATTAAAAAATGTTGCTAATTTTATAATAGATCCTCTGGCTAACATTATTAACATATTTAAAAAAGGGATCTTCCAATCTAAATTTAATATTTTTATAAATATATCAAGTATCTGGAAGAAGAATGGCAAAACGTCCCACAAGATGATATTTGTAGTCTGATTGATAGTATGAACCGACGTTTACAGGCAGTTATAGCAGCCCGAAGGAGAAATACAAAGTATTAGGTTTTACTTTTTTCTCTTTAATTTTTTTTTGATGTAGTTCTTTAATTGATAATATCTAGTGTTTAATAAATTGTTTATTGAAATCAACACCATATTGTAACTTTTCTTAAAATTTGTAAATGAAAATATGACAGTACCCAGACAACACACCAAATCCCAGAGATATCCGCAGAATATCTTTTGTGGATATCCAATATATCCACAGGATATCAGAAATATTCCGTGAATCTAATATGGATATCCAAATGTCCGTCTATATCTAAGATATAGAAGATATCCTAATGGATATTCAGCAAAATATCTAATGGGTATCTTCCAGAAAATACAAGAAATCACAGAGATATCCACAGAATATATTTTGTGGATATTCAATATATCCAAAATGGATATCCAACCAAATGTCAGTCTATATCCCAGGATATAGAAGATATTCGGATATTCAGCAAAATATTTTATGGGTATTTTTAGTAGAGGTTCATAAGTAACCAATGATTATTGAATAACGTCGAAAGAAAATAGCAGTGATAAAAAATATTTTCAACACTCAAAATATTTTGGGTGGGTAGGACCATAAGAATAAATAATAACCAGAAGAATATCTCTCATTTAATTCCTTTGTAGTTGATGCCGACGAGCTATGACCTCGTCTTTTAGTTATTACTTGTATTCCATAGGCGCACGGAAAAAAGGTCAAGAAAATAAAAAAAAATATTTTGGGTAGCTATTACCCAGACAGCACACCAAATCCTTTGGATATCTACTGAACATCCCAATATCCACTGAATGTCCAGTCCATGGTGGATATCTATTTTATATCCATGAAATGTAATTTATAGACAGGGCCGAAAAATAAAATCCTCTGAGCTAATAAGCTACAACTTTTCCTGTAACTTTCAATCACATCACCTCCCCTTTCTCTTCTTATGTCGAATTTCTCATGCAGAAACAGAAAACCCTATTGTCGGGCCCCCCCTTATAGCGCTGCCGGGCCCCCATTTGGGCCCGGGCCCCGGGAATTAGTCCCGGCTACCCCCCCTCTAGTCGGGCCTGATAATAGACATGCAAATGTCCATAAATAATAGTAATTATATAGCAAATTATTAAAAAATTACGCCATTGTGGCTAATAGTACCGTTCAGATATTTAAAATTAATTTTTTTAAGGTGTATTTAATATCCCATGGACATCCACTAAATACAGGGTGTTATTGAAATACACGTACATATTAAAATGGGGAATAGTATGTAATGACCAAAAACGATTGGCACCAATTTTAACTTCAAATTCTAAAATTTAAATATTGGGGAAGAGTCCCCTTTTCCGACCTACTAGTTTCCATATTTAAAGAAGTAAAATAAATCGAAATTGAACTTACCCATAGAAATTGCACTGTTGCCGTAGCAAAACCAATTAATTCAAAATAAAGTTTATTACAGTAATTGTTCAAAATGCCGTCCATTATTATTTACACACACTTGCAATCGTCTTTCCAAAGAACTTTGAACATTAGAAATTAGTCTTGGATTTTGTCGTAGTTCCTCGGCTACCGCATTAACTTTATTGGTTAATTGTTCAACACTATTAATAGGTTCATTATAAACCAGTTGTTTCATGTGACCCCACAAAAAGAAATCGCATGGATTTAAGTCCGGAGATCTCGGAGGCCACTTAGTAGGTCCATTTCTGCCTATCCACTTTTGAGGAAATCTAATGTTCAAAAACTGCCGTACGTTTAAATCAAAGTGAGGAGGAGCGCAATCTAGTAGGTACCACATCCGTTGCCTTAATTGTAACGGTATCTCTTCTAGGAGTACTGGCAAAATATCTTCTAAAAAGTGGAGATATCCTGGCCCATTTAATCTGTTCGGGAGAACATAAGGCCCGATTAAATACTGATCTGTTATGCCAGCCCAAACATTTATTGAAAATTTTCTTTAATGCCCAGTTTCCCTAATGGCGTGAGGATTTCCATCACTCCAAATATGCGTATTGTGCATATTGAACACGCCATCACGAGTGAATGAAGCCTCGTCAGTATACAATAATATTTTTAGAAAATCAGGAATATCAACACATTTTTGTATCATCCATTCACAAAAACTCCACTCTCTTTTCTTCATCACCTGGATATAAGGCCTGGACTTTTTGGATGTGATAAGGATGTAAACCTTGTTCTTTAAGTGTCCGCCACACAACAAATGAGGACACTCCAATTTCAAGACCTAGTCTTCTACAACTTAATTGAGGCCGGTTTTCAACAGCTTCCAATATTTCTTCTTCGGCCGCCAATGTTCTTTGTGTTCTTGTTCTCCCTCGATCTGCATTGACACTCAAATTTTCCATGGTCTCTTAGATGCTGAACAGTTGAAATAAACGTACGACAGTCCGGAATTCTCCGATTTGGAAACCGTACGCGATACAGGATTTGTGCTTGCCGAGAATTTTCTCCAGCTGCCTCATAAACCAGCACTATATCCGTTAGTTCAATATTCGTAAATAGTGGCATCGTAAAAAAATATTTAAAAGTAATCGTAACAACACTTTTTACCAACTTGGAAATGACGCGCTCGTGTTAGCCAGATTCGTAAATCAACTAAAATTTTAATAATCTATAGTTTCAAAAATGTATAGTTTAAAAACAATCATTTATCAAATATTCTAGTTTTTTGATAACGAGGGTAGTAAAAACCAGTCTTCGGAAATAGAAATTAATTCGAAAATCTTGGCAACATGGTTATTTCTTACAAGACTAGTTTTCTTATCATCTGACAAAAACTTGCATATTAATTACTGTTGATGTTTAAAATAGGTAAATAAACCTAATTTATATAGGTCATCCTCAACATATCAGTGAAGTACGTTTGTTTTAGAAATAATTTTCAAAAATTAATAACTCTCTTAATAAGGGGTATTTTTAAAAAATAATATTTTTCTACATTCAGTGGGGATCTGCGCAATACCCAGTTTTAATATGTACGTGTATTTCAATAACACCCTGTATATCAAAGTCTAGGCGCGAACGCAAACCATCGTGGATATCCACTAGATGTTATTTGATTCTGCTTACTAAGTATAGATGGCGATACCACTATCGCATCTGCTCATGCTTGACCCGCCGTAATTGAGTTCGATCGAAATGTGTGTCCTAATCACTCCATTAAAACTTTTGAAACGTGATTGCTTGCAACACTTGCAAAAAAACGAGCTAGTTTAGTTTAGAGTTTAGGTTAGGTTAAATAAATTGTTTCTTCTTTGCATTTTTTGGTCTACGGTCAACAGAAATTTGGTAAAAACATAGCATTTCGATAAAATAAGTATGCAACCAGGATTACGTACACTTAGGTACGTACTTAGTACGTATTTTTCTGTACGTACTGGTACGTACTATTGTGTACGTACTTAAAACGTACATTTTACGTCCTGTACGTACAGTACCAAAACTGTACGTACTTAGACGTACTGGGCTGTTTGGGTATATTCATAATATATTTAAAAAATAATGTAACAAATATTTTATAAAGTATATCGATAGCTTTTTGCGAGACTATTATAAGTGCCA